GAGAGAGAGAGAGAGGACTGAGAGAGAGAGAGAGAGAAAGAGAGCACATGAGTGCTGATGAGAGAAAGGGTGGATAATAAATAAAAAAAAAAAGCACACACACACACACACCTTATTATTCTGATAAAAGGGGAAAGTGAAGGCTAATGAACGAATCTGGTCAAAGCAGTGGATCAGGCACATTCACTAAGCAGCTACAGAATTATACAAATGGGGTATGCATGCTCTCATGGCTCATACCATGGGCCTTTCCATGTGTAACAACAGCAGGTGAGAAGGTGTAGAGAGAAGGAGGCTGATCAAGCAGTCTCCACCCATTGACAGTTCAAGGACTCTTCTCCCATTGGCTGGTCGAGAAGCCTCTGTCCATTGGCAGTTTCAGGACTCTTTCCCGATTGGCTGATCAAGAAGTCTATGTTCATTGGCAGATCAAAAATTCCTCTATCATTGGCAGATCGACCGCTCATAGGCAATCAGGTATTCGCTGTTTATGGGCGAGCACTCATATAGTGCATTCTCTGTGTGAATTTCGTTCAAAGCAGGYCACTCTCTAATTGAGTCAAAGAGGGGCAGTATCCAAGTGTTTGCACTGCGAATTATTCCCAAGTGTATGCACTACGAATTATTATCAATTCTTACTCGCGCAATCTGCTCTTTTCGGCCGACGGGCTCCCGTGCATTTCTCTTCGTTGAATTGTCCTTCACTCACTTGTGGCCCAGGGCTGAGCCCAGATATCAGCCTTACGGGACATGCAAGCTCATTTGGTTCTGGTTTAGTAATAATTGTCTGTCGAAGTGTGTAAGAGAACACTCAAATCAGCAAAAGTGGGCGCACGGCAGGCAGTCTGAACTCTATCTCCCTGCTGGTCGCTGAGGACCTCGGAAGCGGGCGCAGCGAGTGACAGGCGATGTTGCCCATGGCTTCAGCGACGAACAGGTGACCCCTCCCCGGGTTTCCCCACAACGCTTCGTAATTAGCATGCGCCTGGCCTAGCGTCTTGGATGCATACTGAATGACGTGTTCCCTTCGTTCCGCCCCGTGCTGAGTCAGCACCGCCGATATCGCCTGCGGCTGCCAATCGGTGTACAATGCGAACGGTCTTGTCGGGTCGGGACGCGCCAGCACAGGAGCAGATGTCAGAGCCTCCTTCAACGCCTGAAACGCTGCTTCGCATTCCAGCGTCCAGATCAGCTGCTCCTCTTTCTTCAGCAAGTTTGTTAGGGGCTTCGCTACACCGGCGAACCCCTTGATGAAGTGTCGGTAATAGGATGCTAGCCCTAGAAAGGCCCGAACCTGGGTGAGTGTGACCGGCACCGGGGCTTCTTGAACTGCTGCCACCTTCCTCGGATCCGGTTTTAGTCCATCGACCGTGACGATGTACCCCAAGAATGAGATCTCCGACAAGAAGAACTCGCTTTTCTCTAAGGCCACTTTGAACCCCGCATCTTTTAGTGCATGCAAAACCCACTCAATGTGTTCCACATGGTACTCGTGTGTTTTTGAAAAGACCAAAATATCATCCATGTACACAATCACGCAGAAATTGATCAGGGGCTGGGTTAGTCGGGTTTTGTTAATGAACTCAGCGAAGGCCATATGCATGGCCTGCTGAAACGTTGCAGGGGCGTTACAAATTCCCATGGGACACCGGACCTATTGCCACGTGCCCTCAAATAGGACAAAAGCGGTTTTGGGTCGGTCTTCCGGTCGGACTGCGACATGGTGAAAACCGTGTCGGATATCGAACTTGGAAAAGACCCGAGCGGACCCGATAGCATCTAATAAATCGTCGATTCGCGGCAAGGGATACACATCTTTGGTAGTGATAGCGTTCAATTTTCGGTAGTCGATACGTACTCAGACCGAACCATTTCGTTTTGGCACGAGGACCACGGGAAAAGACCACGGTCCCAGCGATGGTTCGATCCACCCCAACCACTCGAATTCCTGTACTCTTTCCAACGCTAGTTGTCTTTCTTTAAGGGAATATCGGTACGGTCGACAATGTATCGGGGTGTGATCCCCGGTATGAATCGCGTGCTGTATCAAAGGGGTTAGCCCTATGTCGTGAATACTGACGGCCTCAGGATAGGCCCGTATAACCGCCAGGAGAAGGTGTTTGTATTCATCCGGAACACGGGTTGGTAACTGAACTTCTACGGTTCCCCCAGGAAGGGAGACCATCGTCGTAACCGTGGGGACCGCCGCGCTGGCATCGGGCGAGGCCCCAAACAAAGAGTTGTCGGTTTTCGCTGAAAGGACAGTCGCCATAAGTTGACTGTCCGCTGGACTCATCGGCTCGCTTTCCATGTCATTGTCATTGTCCAGTTCGGGTTCGGTCGAGGGTTCTACCGAAAAGACCTGCGTCAGTTCCCTCGGTCCCCACCGATATTCCCTTGTTCGGGGTTGAAACAACACCCCCTCTTTCAAGAGTATCGCGACTTTTTCATTCGTGAGTAGGGGCCGTGGAGGTCGAAAAGATAAATTGCACAGCCCCCTCAGCTCGGTAATCTTTCAGGTAGGGGGTCCGTCCTGAGATATAAAAACGCAGGGGGTTCCGAAAGGTCAGTAATTCGGGACACCCTCAGACCACGGAGGAGAACGCGTGCCACCAATTGGACTCACTCCTAACTATTTCCAGGGGTTCTCGCCGCCACGAATGGCGCCACCGATCCTGAACCCAGATCGGATATCGGTCGGGTACATCAGTCTCGTCAATTTCCGAGGAGGTTTCATTTTCGTTTGGTGACAGGCGTCGGATCATGTTGATTTGATGGGCTTTCGTGGTGATTCGAGGCACTGGCTGGGTGCGCATGCGCACCGCCAGTCTCATTGGTATCGTTTGTGGTTTGGGGTGGGCCGATGTGAGCACCACCTTACAGCTGTCAAAGTGCATTCACGCTCCGACCGCCGCCTGCCACGGAATGCCTAGCAGAACATCATACGCCTGTACATCCAGCACGATTGCGTCGCACAAACAATGCACCCGCCCCACACGTATAGGCACGTTCGTTATTCGCTCTTTACAATGAATACTGTCTTCCGTAGCGGATATATACAGTTCATCCGGTCAGAGGGGCTGAACATGTCCTTCCCTTCCCAATTGTTTCGTCAATCTCCAAGAAATGGCGACCGCGGACGATCCCGACTCTAGGATGGCGGCCGAGGGATTTCCCCAGACCTCGCAGTCTCACTCAACGCTCTTCCAGGTTATAGGATAGGCTCGAAGGAAGACCTCGGGTTTTTCCTGAGGCAGGATCTACAGTCTGGATCATTCCTATCCAGTTGGCTTCGTTCACCTTTGAGGTCGAGGGCTGTGACTCTTCGTTTGGGGGTAGGTATTATAGGACCGGCTTTTTGCCTCTTCGACTTTCCTCGAAGCGACACTTGTTTTTGAGGCATCGTTCGATCAACTTTTCGTTAGCCGCTTCGGAAATGGTTAGTAGATAGGGAATAGGGACGGGGATCCATAGATCCAGAGCCTTCAATGCATCCAACACGTCGATGTGACCGTCTTTGTACTCGGGGCCAGGGGCCGTGAGATCTTCGAACCCCGACCGCCAAAGCCCGAGGTCGCTTTCCTCGGTAATCCTTTGGACGTGACGTATCACTCCAATGGTCCTGGGTTCGAACATCGCCGCAGCCATATACTCATCGGGCCCTATCTCGGTGGCCGCAGGGGTCACCATTTTCGTTGCTCCGGTATCCATCACCGTGGCTACCCTCCCCTGTCCTGCAGCGGTTGGAGCAGCCAGCGGGATTTGGGAAGGTCCGGTGGGCCCCACGGGCCCACTCTGAGTTCGAGGTTTCGGACAATCTTTCGCAAGGTGGCCTGGCTGATTACAGTTATAACAGCGCAGGGGCGGGACAGCCCCGACCACGACCGGTCTTATCATAGGGGCCCCAGTGGCCATAGCCGCTTGTTGCCGTTGTGCGGCGGCTATGCGTTGCCGCTGCAATCCTTGAACAAACTCCGTCAACGGGGCCACTACCGTAACTAGTTGGGCCGCGACCTCTTTCATGGATACTTCTTCCTCACCCCGGCCTCCTTGAGCTTGCCCAGAGCGACGGGAGGTCGAGGCAAAGGGAGAGGCTTTCCGATCCAAGCCTTTTTTTGACGGACCCAACCCGAAGCGATCTTCAAACATTCGTGCCGTAGCGGAGTAGCTATTGCGTCGAACACCCGAAGGGTCGTCTTCGTAAGATTCTGAGTCCAGGCCCACATCGTAATTTTCCTTCCCGTACTTAATGGCGTACTGAATTAGCTCCGTCAGGGTATGTTCTATAGGGTTGCATTTCTTGCGGATCTTTTTCCGCAAACGAGAATCTGACAATCTTTGACGAAATCAGTCCGTACCATTTTCTCATCCACCCCGGAGCGTTCGGCTAAGTACGTAAAACGTTCAGCATATCTAGCCAAGGTCTCCCGAGGCTGCTGCGTGTATTCCTTTATTAAACGGAGGCATTGACCTGGTGCGATGTGATCAAATCTATCGAGAAATTTCCTCTGGAAAGCTGCCCAATTAGTGAAGGGGTTATGTCCATACCACTCAAAAGCGGTTCCGGCTAACCTTCCGGGAATTCGTTCTCGGAGTGACTGGTCCGACCAGCCCTGGGCTTTCAAGGCAGCTAGCCAGGTGCGAGGGTTTGTATCATCTCCGGAAAAAATGGGGACTTCGGAGGGAGGAGGTATAAAATACAGGGGATGATTGGCCATCCCTGCGTGGTTATCGCCGTCGTTTCCACCCCCAATCCCGGGTTCAACCATCGCGGGAGGCGGACCCCGAGCCCGGCCTCTCGCTCCGTTCTGATTGCTATTTGCGGGCCTCCGTCGACGGGGAGCCAGCCTACTCAGAAATGCAAAAAATCTAATAAAAAGATAAAAAAGGAGAAAAAAAAAGACTTCAAAACCGGGTAATCGTCGAAGGAAAACCTCGGAGCCGAAACGAATCAGCTCTGATACCAACCTCACGCCCTCTCGCAGCTTCCCGTACTGGGTCGCCGATCAGAGTTTTGGGAGGGGCGTGGCCGAGGATTTTTGGCCGTAGGGGTTGAGTCTCCCGGACGGAACGGGAGGCTCTCGTTTCGTGCCAGAGGTTACCTCGGAGTCGAATTGTTGTCGCAAAGTCCCGTGGGGGTCAGGTCACTTCGGAACGATAAACTCAGAAGAAGCTCCGCAAAAATGGATGGTCGTCGTGCATCCGGACGGAAAAAGCCATCAAGGGGAGAGGGTCATGGCGGTGGGAGACAGAAACTCCAGCCGTCATGGGTTTGGGGGATAGGTGGTGGGTTCGAAGCCTTCAGGCCTCGTCGTCGGACTCACAGAGTCCGCGCGGAATTTTCTGAGAGGGGGAAACGGCGGGAGGGCTCGTTGGCATCCAAATTCGAAATTGCGCAGGCAGCGCCCCCGCATTACGGGAGAGCTCGGGGAAACGTGCCGCTCCCTCGTAACCCAGAACCAAGCGTCGCCAAGAACACGAGTCCCCCTGGCGACACCAGCGGCAATCAAACTGCAGACGCCACGCGGCGTGAGCGGCCGACCAGGGCAACACAGTTAAACCCGTATAAGGCAAGATTAGAGTTGGGGAATCAAAACGATCAATCAAGACAAAACCGTTCCCCCTTATATCGCAAGCCCGAGGCGGGTACCGCCAACACACTTGCTCCGTTCGCCTCAGCGCGCGCCGCACGTCCGCATCGCAGTAGACGCTGTCGTCATCTGTGATGGGGAAGGTCGGGAGCGAGATGAGACGATCGGAGGTAGGCGATAAACACGGGCACAATCCCGCGCTCTCGATTATCTGAACCAACATCGATTCCATACAATACTCGACGCAACCTTCCCTCTCAACGTTGTGCGTCGGAGGAAGATGGCGAAATCTAAGCTCTCTTCCCCTTGCGGGGGCGTCGACCGCGCGCGCGGACGCAGGCGGTTGACGTCGCCGGTACGGGGACGAGAAGTTCAAAAGCGATGGCTATCAGTCCAAAAAGGGCCGCGGAAGGGAGGGGAACATCGGGATTAACACACTCATACTCCTAGGCAGACGGTTCCCAAGTTCTGTTCCTCCGTCCCCACCCGGATAAGTACATTCACACATACATACATGCAATCAACAACTCTTGACAAAACATACAATCATCCATAGATCTTTGACATCATTCATGCGCACAACAAGCTCCCCATGACTCGGGGCCTCACACACACAACATGCATGGACAAAGTAGCGATGGAGATAAAAGCGAGTCCTTCGTGTACACAAAAATTCTCAATTAACTGCCGCCCCCAGGCGCAGCCTTCAAAACTTCCCAAGACCACCGACCACCATAGCCACAAGGCCCTGCCGCAGTCGGCGTCCAATCCCCACCGTTGCTCAGTCCCTCAGACTGCCTCGCCCCGAGACTACCGCGGGCCCACCCCGCGTCGTCACTCCGCCCGTCCTTGGGCTCGTCGAGCCTGTTCGGCGCCACGGACTTCGCGCATAGCTCGCGCAGCATTGCAGCCGAGATCAAAAAGAGAGAGAGGAGAGGGTTGCGCGAATTTATAGCGCGGGAGGCGGCGGGTTGTCAGCGCGAGGTGCGGGCAGCGCAGGTTGTAGATGAGCAGGACAAGAGGAAGGTGGGGAGTTAGAGG